AAGATTAATGGCAGAGAAGCCAATTCTGTCCGAGATGAACCTATCTTGGAGCTATGGCACAAGCGCCTCGGCTACATGAGCGAGAAAGGGCTCCAAATCTTGAACAAGAAAGGATTATTGACCAGGTTGAAAGGCCAAGCGTTGGAGAGTTGCACGCACTGCCTAGCTGGAAAGCAGCACCAGGTTTCTTTTGTGAGACCGGATCAACCCAGACGACGTAGGTATATTCTTGACCTCGTCCATACCGATGTCTGCTTCATGTCGGAAAGATCCTTTGGAGGAGCTCAATACTTTTATTTATTTATTGATGACCATTCCCGCAAAGTGTGGGTATATTTGTTGAAGTCTGAAGACCAGGTACTCCAATCCTTTAAAGAATTCCATGTTATGGTTGAAAGGGAGACTAGCAAGAAATTGAAGGTGGTCCGATCTGACAATGGTGGTGAGTATTGCGGCCTTTTTGATGCATACTGCAGAGCGGCCGGGAACCGACTTGAGAAGACGCCCTCCAAAACTCCACAGTTGAATGAACTGGATGAGAGGATGAACCAAACAATTGAAGAGAAGGTCTGAAGCATATTATCCAATGCCGGATTGCCGAGATCATTATGGGAAGAAGCCGTCAGAACTGCTGTTGATTTAATCAACCTCTCACCATCACGGCCACTTGAAGGAGAAATTCCAGAAGAAGTTTTATAATCAATTGAAGGTGTTTGGATGCCGAGCCTTCGTGCATATCCCTAAAGATGACAAAGCAAAACTCGATGCGAATACAAAAGAATGCATCTATCTTGGTTCGCCGAGATGTGAGTTCGGGTTCCAACTTTGGGATCCAATCAATAAGAAGATAGTGAGAAGCCGAGATGTGATCTTTCATGAAGATGAGACCATTCATGACATCTCAAAGCCCAAATTCCGGGTTACTGCCAGACGTGAAGAATCCATCCCTCCTGTCTGAGCTGAAGCAGGGGGAGAAAATCAAGAGAATGAAGGAATTGATAACTAGCAACAAGCTGAAGATGACCAAGACACTGAGGTCCGAGTTGATGTTGAGATCCAGGATGAGAATGATGAACCGAGTTCTCAAGCTGAAGAACAGCCGAGATATCCAACTCGAGAAAGAAGACCCTCTATAAGATACCCATCTGATGAATACACCGTTGTTGCTGAAGACGGTGAGCCTCAGAGTTATGATGAGGCTGTGACGAGCTCAGAGAAAGAAGAATGGGAAAAGGCAATGCAAGACGAGATGAAGTCTCTGCACGAGAATCAGACTTATGAGCTGACCGAGTTGCCTGAAGGAAGACGACCTCTGAAAAATAAATGGGTCTACAAGATTAAGAATGAAGAGAACGGGCTGAAGCCGAGATACAAAGCCCGGATTGTAGTGAAAGGCTGCAATCAGAAGAAGGGTGTAGACTTTGAGGAGATTTTTTCTCCTGTAGTGAAAATGACCTCGATCTGAACTGTGTTAGCCATGGCGGCTTCGATAGACCTCGAGGTAGAACAAATGGACCTGAAGATGGCATTTCTTCACGGTGATTTAGAAGAAGAAATTTATATGGAGAAACCTGAAGGGTTCCGAGCTCCAGACCAAGAAGACTTGGTATGTCAGTTGAAGAAGAGCCTCTATGGCTTGAAGCAAGCACCTCGGCAGTGGTACAAGAAGTTTGAATCATTCATGACTGATCACAAGTTTGAGAAGACAGAAGTCGACCACTGCATATTTGTGAAGAGGTATGAGGCCGGAGATTTTCTGATATTGTTGTTATATGTTGACGACATGCTTTTTGTAGGGCAAGACAAATCGAGGATAGTCGCCCTGAAAAAGGCGTTGAGCTCGTCCTTCGCAATGAAGGACCTCGGCCTTACAAAGCAGATTCTCGGAATCAAGATTATCCGAGATAGACAAAAGAAGCTACTGTGGCTGAGTCAAGAGAAGTATATTGAGAAGATTCTGAAGAGATTCAGCATGGACAAAGCCAAAAAAGTGAGCACCCTCCTAGCCGGACATATAAAGCTGAACCAGAAGCAATGTTCGAGATCTGATGAACCCAAAGATGAGATGATGAATGTCCCATACTAATCCGTCGTTAGAAGCTTGATGTATGCAATGGTTTGCACTAGACCCGACTTGGCGTATGCTGTTGGAATGGTAAGTCGGTATTTGGCAAACCCTGGCAAAGAGCACTGGGAAGCAGTGAAGTGGATATTCAAGTACCTCTGATGTACGACCGACTTATGTCTCCGATTTGGAGAAGGCAAAGCCGAGTTGCAAGGCTACTCGAATTCTGCTTTAGGGGGAGATTCCGACTAGAGAAAATTGACGACAGGATACATGATGAGATTTTTCGGAGGAGCTGTCTCTTGGCAATCAAGACTTCAGAAATGTGTTGCACTATCGACAACCGAAGCTAAGTACATTGCCGCTACTGAGGCAAACAAAGAGATGCTGTGGATGAAGAAGTTCTTCATGGAACTCGACCATGATAAAGACATGTACGAGCTGGGTTGTGACAATCAAAGTACAATCCATCTTGCGAAGAATTCGACCTATCACTCTCGTACTAAGAATATTGATGTGAGGTATCACTGGATCCGGGGTGTGGTGGAAGGTGGAGAGCTCGAACTCGTCAAAGTGCACACTGACCAGAATTGGTCCGACATGATGACAAAGCCGGTTTCAGCATGGAAATTTGAAGGCTGCTGTGAAGGAGCCGGGTTGATGCTGAAGCCGACGCATTGAAGTCAAAGGGGGAGATTTGTTGGGCTTCCTCCTTAAATGCTAAACCCAAGCCCATTGAGGGGTTTCCTGAAATCCCTAAACCCTAGATCTCACCTCCTCTATATATTCATTAGTTGTGGGTGGAGGCTAGGTCAGAGATTAAGAGAGAGATTAGAAATTTGAGAGAAAATTGTTTGAGCAAAGCTTTATGCTTTGTATTTGAGAGATCTCTAGAGAGAGTTTGAGTGAAACATCTCTAGGGAGGTTTGATTATCACTATTGTTGGAGAGGTTGAGTTAACCACCACATTGATGATTCTGATTATTTGTAATCATTATTTTCATAGTGGATTTTTGATCTAGACTATGTCCCGTGGATTTTTACTTCTTCTTTGGAGAAGGTTTCCCTCGTTAAAACTGCTTGTGTTCTCTCTCTTTCTCTTTCTCTCTCTCTCTCTCTCCCATTTTTCGTTTTGATTTTCTGCTGCGCTGCCCGACTTGGTGAAGTTCAGGCAGAGGTATTGCCGAGATCCAAGATCCAGGATCTCATTGACTGACTTCCGCAAAGGCACCTGAGCTGATATGAGGGAACCGAGTTCCCAACATTATCTTCCTCGAAAAGCCAAATACCACCAGGCTTCTGATGCCAAATGCTTTCTTCTTGCTCAAGAATCACATCTTATTCACAAAAATTAATTTTTCAAAAATTAACATTCTAAAATTAAATAAAATAGAATCAAATCTTTCAAAAAAAGAATTTAATTCAAATTAATTTTTCTTTTTCAAATCAAAAATAAAATTTTAAATCTTCCTTCCTTAATTTTCAAAACTTTAGGATAATTCAACCTAAGGCATAGTCATGATTTATTTCATTCAACCATTACTTTTTTTTTTTGAAATATTCCAATCGGTTCATTGTTTCGCAACTAATCCGATTCGGGGCGGGTCCAGGATTAAGGCTTTAAACCTCTCCCAAATGTGATAGTGGAGAGATTCGAACACATGCTCTCATCGCATCTGCTTAGCTCCCATGCGCCAACTGACCTACCACCATTTGGTTCAACCATTACATTAAATCTAAAATTTTATCTTATAATTTCGATTTTAACAATTTAATGACAACTTCGTTGCATTTATTTCTTCATAATTCATTATATATTAAAACCTGCAATACACTTTTAAAAACTAAACAACTGCTTTCAAAAACTAAACAATTATTAGATAACTTAGCTTATCAAAAGTCTAGATAGGGTGTGAAAGCCAACATTTTAGTTTTGCATCAATCCGGTTAATACTTTTAGATTTTGGTCCACTATTGTGGAAAGGCCACAAAAATGACATAGGAAATGCATTAAAAAAACTATCGTTATTTACACACTAATAATTTTACTTTTTTTACTTTTTCTTTATTAGAGAATAAAAGCAGAGTGTGCTAGTATGTGTGTTTTATTTCATTATTATAAAAGAAGAAAGTCATATAAAATAATATAAGGAAAATGACATGTAAACAACATTAATAATAAAAAAATGCAAATTATGTTTTTAATTTCATCACAATTACGCCCAAAATCTTTTCTACTTGTAATGTGCAATGTAACATGCTGGACTAATTCGATTTCGGATTTGAGTATCTCTTTCTTCCTTAAAAATTGCAACTCAGTAATCGAATTCACTACCTTTAGAAAAATCAAATCAGTTTACCCATAAAAAAAATTAAAAGAATAAAATAAAATCCTATAATATAATTGGGTCGCCACGAACTCTTGGGGTTTAGCCTCCTATTTTATTAAGACGTGAAAACGAAAATAAAAAAAAGGGCAACACCATCATCCCCATTTAAATGAAAAAAGGAACCCCTCATGTGGCAAAAGCTTCATGATAATTAGATAGTTTGAAAGGGAAAGTGACTGATGTATTAAAACAGAGAAAATAAAAAAGTGATCAACAAGTGCTCTTCTTCTTAGGTGGCTAAAGTTTCATAATCACTAACTAATTTAGAAGGAAATGAAAAGGAGCATGACACTCCCATGCAAACACAACTTGTATAAAATCAAATGTAGTGGCCTAAATCGTCAAATATTACTTGCAGCCGGAATAATCATATTAAATCCCTGGACATATATATGACTCAGTGAAAGAAACTAAATGAAAAATAGAACCAAATCAAAAATCAAAATAACATCTATTGCCAAAATAGAAAACTAAAAAATAACAATCATAACTGTCATATACAATTGCAAAATCCGCTTCGAACAGTATTGTTGAGGGAGTGAGAACTAAACATTTTTTTCTTTCTCTTTAAACCATTCAACAAAATTTTCGATGATCTCTGGCCATGCTTCAATGGAGTCATCATAATTTTGAAGATTTGGAATTCTAACCTGGCAGCACAAAATGTCAAATATTTTTCTCCGTTGAACTTGTCAAAATGAAGCACGCCTACTTTTATCAATTGTGCATGTTTACAATTAAATACAAACAACATAATGCATATGATGGACTAAATAGAAAAAGACCACAACTGCAGAGAGATCAGAAGCACTGCTAGTGTTTATTTTACTGCCCAAAATGTGAATTGAAGTTAGAAAGCACCAAACAAACTCAGTTCACAACACAATAGGAAAGTACCCAACTTAATGGGAATTAAGTTCTCTTCAATAGGAGTTCCCTTTCCTGTAAATTACAGTTACAGACAGAACGAATGCAACTGCCACATAGAATCTCATTCCAATGAAAGTAAATATCAAAATGAAGGAAAATGGGAACAGCTATTCCTCAGAAAATTAAACTATCATTTTGACAGCTTGATAAGAACTTAAAATTTGTCGAGACTCCATTAAACCCCAGATATGAAACTCAAGCAAAAGCTGAAATTTTTTTAAAAAAAATTTGCACGGATTATAAAACCTGCATGAAAAGAACATCATTACCTGTTTAAAGAAAGGAAAGAAACTGGTCCAATGATGTTTGTTTAAAGCGCCGTAGTCACTCTGGACCTGTCACATAATCAGTACAAACCTTAAGAAAATAACTTACGTAAAAAAATCTATATATTAAAGGTCTTTTTGATCAACATCTAGTCAACAAAAGTAATATGCATAGTCTATCGAAAAAAAAAAAATGCATAACTCACAAGCTGTAATCGGGAAAAACTCTGCTATCACTTGTTTTCATATTACAGATATTCCAAGAAAAACTCCCTCTAGGATGCACATAACTATCCATGCATCTTAGAAGATGATGCAAAAAGGCTAGAGTATCATTAACTAACACGTTATATATATATATAAAAAAATCAGAGAAATATTATAGTTAGAACTTATTTTCATTTAGAACCTCTTATAACCATATCTTAATTATTGATTTTCGTCAATCAATAATTATCATTTATTGTGAATTAATAATTAATTAATGAGTTTGATTTGTAAAAATAATAATCGTTGATTAGCGAAAATCAACTGTTAATATATGATTGTAAGAGGTTGTAAACGAAAATAGGTTCTAAGCATAACTTTCCTCTGAAAAATGAATATAAACAGATATTCACTTTAGATATTCTAGAGTGGCATAAATGAAACGAGATATAAACAGTCACTCACCTTTAGATACTCAATTAATAAATTGACCTGAGTAGGGAATGCGGGTCTCAGAACAACATTTAACAGCTCACAAACAGATTCAATATCTACTTGCTGATCTTCTGAAAGTATTTTTCAATATTGTAGCGTTTAAAAGAGATAAGAAAGACCAGAAAAGCAACAAATTTGAATTATAATCGAAATACAAGGCCATTAATACCATGCTTACCCTTCATGTTGTATTCAAATGCATAGGAATAAAAATCCTCAAAGAACTCTGGTGCCACAGTAGCATCAAAAAACTCAGTGACGGACATCTGCTATCAATTGTTAATCTCAGCAATAGTTATAAAAAAACAAAAAAAAATTCACTAACTAATTTATAACAAAACCAAATACCTCTTTCTCCAGTAAATCAATTTCTTTTCTTAATTTCGCGATTGTGTCAACCCCTAAGCCTTTAAGGCCTCTTCGCCACTCATCCTAAGAAGGGGAAAAGGAAAGGTAAGTATCATGATTGCCGTACCTTAATCGGGTGTATTTGATTTCGTACCTAATACTTGCTTCTAGCTAGATTCAACGCAAAATTAATAAAAACTGGGCTAATTAAAAAATAAGTTTTATAAGAGTTACGTTGTAGGTAAAGTAATTGTGTAATGTTATAGAGATTCGTTTTGCGTGTCTTAACTTTTTTAATTTTTTTTTTGTTTTCAAAAGTGTGGGTCCCACAAAATATTGTGTGTAGAAAATTTGATAGTGTCATGTTAAAGGACAAACTACGATCCCTTAAAAAATAGGGAAGATTCCTTTACAAATTTGTTTTATAAATTTTTGTAAATTATTGTATTTTTGCCTACAAATACATACTGTAATATAGTATATTTTTAAAAATACATAATATAGTTCGTAAGAATTCGTAAACAAAAAATTTATAAATATAACTCTAAAAAAATTAGAATTGAAAAGAAAGTTATCCGTCCTCAAAATGATAGTTTGAATTGAACATTAAAAAAAAAAAATTCTAATGTTTTACAAACGTAATTAAATAAGAAACGTAAAATTATAAAAATGTCACTGAAATATAAATTGTCTAACATCCATCATACTATTTTGAACTGCAAAATGATATGCTTGCACGCACTGTTTTAAAGTAAAACTATGTGCATAAAAAAATCAAGTACAAATTAGTTAATACACAACACCAAGTTTTGTGTTAGAGGACTATTTGATTCTACAATATATTTTAAAGATCTTCGAGGTAATCTAAAAATGTTCAAAAATACTCTTGAGTGTGTCCAATGAATTGATAATGATGAATTACTAATACATGCAATTTTGTGAAATATTAATAAAAATATAAAGGCAATGCTTTGCTCTGCCTACCTTAGTAAAAACACCCTGCTTTTCAGCTTTCATTTTCCTGATACCATCATATAAATTGTAAAGGTTAGAAGATGAGTTTGGCAGAGATAAAGCAGAAAAAAATCCACAACATGATGCGTACCAAGCAAGAATCAATATTCTAACATCTGCACGATCCACCTGCAAATCTTCACAAAGAGCTCCAATCCCTTCTGACCTGACCAACCGAATAAAATATATAAAGTATTTACATTGAGTCACATTAACTTTATATGTAAAACAAAGCAATTATATGCACCACAATCATTTCTGTTATTTTAACAGGATGGAGCAAGAAACAAGCTCTAAGAGCAAAAAAGAGAAAATGTGTAACTTGTAGACAGCATTTATTGTAAGCAAAAAAGAGATCCTCAACAAATCAAAAAGTCATGCAATTTATTGAGTGCAGATTTATGTCTGTTATTGTTATGTAAGAAAAAATCTATTTTTTAATTTTTAATTTTTTAAAAGTAAGTGTATATCTTTAATCCTTCAGTTCGTTTAAAGCATTTTAAGGACATAGCCATTCGAGAATAGGAAAAATATTTAACCTGGCGAAAAGGAGAAAAGAGAAGAGATAAAAAAAAGTTATACATACATACACATATATATACACACACAAAAACTTTTTTGTAGGATTTACATCGTGCCAGGACAATAAGAAAAACAAAAAGAGAAAAAACAGATATCAATGCCAACATATATACGAGCCATTTACATCATTCAATTTGATATTTGTTGGTATTCAGAAATAGAAAGCGATGTTATATATATGAGCTACCAGAAGTAAATGCCTAATAAAATTTCTATAAAAAAACTAGAAGGGAAATTATTTAAATATGTGCATACTTACTCAATCATTCCCGATTGGTTATTTGCGTATGTATCAAATAGGCCATCAATAGGATCGAATTGCTCTGCTGTTGTTTTCTTTGATGCTGAATCAACATGAAACGAAATAACTAATACCAACTTCAAAGAAGAACTCAGCAAAATGATGGCAAGAATTACAAGAAAGAAAAGAAAGATTAAAAGAAACCTTCCAACAATAACATAGACAGCTAGAACAGTCACGCATTATCCACACTTAATGATTCAGTACAATTTACATTGAAGCTTAAAAATTTCCATGGCATAGTATTTTAGTTTTATACATACACACGCTGTTCTAAAAGCACTCATTAAGCTTAAAAGATTGTGCCAGGTACAAGCAGCCTCATAGAAAAATATATAGTGATGGATATTCTTGATCTTGAAGCCATTGTGACATGGTTCATGTGAATATTTAATCCACGAAATCCTTTAAAAGAAATCCACACAAACTAATTGGTTTCCAAGTAACGACTTAAATTTCAATGCATGATGGCACTTCTGTCACTTGATTTTGGCTAGAACCAATGAGAGAAAAAGAAGAAATTGAAAAAAGTACCAGAACTTTCAGAATATTCAGGGTAAGATGATCTCTCGGGTGTTCTTTTGCGGCGAGGCATCTGATCTTGGCAAGTAGAGAGAAAATGGCTAGAATTACAAGAAAGTGTATTGGGAAAGAGAGATTGAATTGAAATGTAAGTGAGGTTTTATTTATACATAACGGTAAGGCTGCAAGAAGCGCCAAACTCTTCTTTGCTTTTCTTATTTTCTTTGAATTATGATTCTCATATACTATCTCATCGTTTTCACGTCACTTCTCATTCCTTCTCTAAGGGGGCGTTTGGTACAGGAGAAATTTTTATTTGTCCGGGAATCTCAATTTTCAAAAATATGATTTTCACGTTCAGTTTACGCCTGAAAATTTAAAATTTAGAAAAATTCAGTTTCCCGGAAATCCCTCAAAATCCCGCGTACCAAACGCTCCCTAAGTACTTTATAGATCAATGACTGAGGTTTTTTAGTATTGGTTGATAATTAGTTTTCAACTAGACTACATTATGTATTCTAAAAATACACTAGATTACACTATGTACTCTTGAGAATACATAGTGTAATTTGTAATAGTGTAATTTACAAAAATTTGTAAACAAATTCTTGCCAAGTAAAAATTGTGCCATATTCGGCCAAAGATCAATGTCCAAAAATGTTATAGAAACGTCACAATATGAATACCTGATGCCCATAAATTGTGTTGGCTGCATGTGACACGATGGTCAAAAGATTTTGGTACATTGATTTGAATTTTTGTGAAATTTCTTTACTAAAAAATGTGTGTGCAATCAAGGCCCGTTTGAATCCTGTTTCTAAAAATAGTTTTTTTGTTTTTAGAACAAAAAATAAAAGAACTCATTTAATAAGGTTTGTTTTGTAATTTTTTTTTAAAAAAACAGTAACTATTTTTTTTTGTTTTTAGAATCAAATTTAAAAAATATGTATGAGTTATTATTGTTTTGTGTTTTGACTTTTAACTTTCAAAATAACAAAAATTATAGAAAAAACTTATTTTCATAACTATTCTATAAAATAGTTTTAAGACAAAAAAAAAAAGCAAAACACAATCAAACAGACCCTTTTGAAAATGAAAATATTATAAATCAAAATTAAAACTAAACTAAATGAAAAATAAGATAAATAAAGCGAAATCTACTAAAATAAAAGTATTGCACTACTAAAAAAACACTTCCCTAAGTTTATATTTTTGATACAAAAATTAGGACGATAAGAAAAAAAATCACTTAAAAAATACATTTCAAAATTTTGGATTCATCAATGAATTATTAAGGAAAGAGAAAAAAATTCTCGAATACTTGATCTCTACCATTGATTGTGAAATTTCGTTAACGCTATATCAGAAGTTACTCCAGGTACTGCTTGACGTAAAACTGATATTGGATTTGTTTCTATCTTTTCTGGAATCTTTTTTTAGCTCGATAGATAATTTGATTAAGTTTCTCTTTCTAAATATCTTAACAACGCATTGTACAGATTTGTTTTGGTCTCTTCGACATTTTATGAATTTATCTTAACAACCTACGTAAAAGTTTCGAGCACTATGGCGTAGATGGAAATGAATTTCGGCCTTTTTGTTTTTTACATGATGAGAGCGCAAGGCCCATAAATGATTTTTGGGCTTGGGACCTCCTTTTTGTAACCTATAAATTAAAATCTTTTGTGTTATAACACTAATAAATAAAAAAGAATTTTGTAATCCCCCTTTATGTATAAAACTTATTATGAATCTAACATAAAGACACACAATCTAGAATATCCAAAAAGAAAGCTAAGATGAAAATTAAGAAAATATTCCTTAATCATATCAGTTATAGTGCTCAGCAGTGGATCAAGAATTGAGCTCCAAATATTTGTAAGAGAACCAAAAGTTTATTAATGTCAGGTACTCATCTATAGATAAAGGGATAAACCAATGCTGTCAATGTGCACACACATCATCCCTTTGTGCACACAATTATTGTTTGTGCATAGTGATCTTGGAGGTGAGACCTTGAAGGCTTGGGAATATTTTTTGGTTTCCATACGTCTATATGCTACACATAAAATAGGTATATGTTAATCACCTTGGCTGGCAGCCTTCAAACGCATATATATTTTGCCTCCGACATGTTGCAAGCAAATTTAATTAAAAAAATTAGGAATATCAATTTGAAGCAAGACTTGATGAGACTAGATATGAACATTACTTTTATCACTGATCTTGAGTATGGTATATATCCTATAACACCTTATTTTGTACGTAGGTTATATTCCTTTCAGAGTTCATTTTGATATATTATTAGAAGAATTTTGGCAAGCTATGGTAAATGGATAGTCTCTGCAGTCTGACAACGTCGGCCAAGCCTCCTCTCTGGCTTGGGGAGATCATTTGCAGATTTAGCTCCTCGACTACCTAACTAGGAGGCAATGCAGGTCTAAGCTTAGTAATCTGCCTATATTCCTTAACCATAATAATCACTCTGCCCAACACCATTTGAATGCATGCCTTTGACGCAAGGTCGTTAGCTTGGCCTTGTGCTTTGATTTCTTCGAAATTTTTTTAATTTCTCTAAATCTTTTGGTGATAACTATCACCTACAAGCCAAACTTCATCATACCAAATCATAAAGAAATAAGAACATAAAGGTGGAGGCATACCTGTCTCCATTGCAGCGGAATAACTTTGATCTTGTCTCTTGGGGTTTGTAGTCTTCCTCAGTCAAATCGCCCTAAAACCAAATTCCTTAGTGTGCCGTCTCTCTCTTGATGGGGAAGAGAAACTAGGGTTGTTATTTTGACGTCTTGGGGACCATAACCCTTATAGTGTTTTTATCTTTATTGTTAGGCCAATAAGCTCTCATTATACCTAGTTGACCCAACACCGGTATCCACTCATTCAGCCCATACTCACTTAGGAATCTATTTGGGAATATTTAAATGATCACTTTAATTTACTCAATATATATAAATAGCACAATATAATTATTAATATAATACGTAACCCACAATGATTATTAGAAAATATAATTTCCTAACAATCTCCCACTTGGGCCACATATTAACTTGAGATAATTATATCGTATATCTTTAGTGCGCAACTGTATGCTATTTTTCTTTAGATTCCTCCTTAGATACAATCTGGTCCACCTCCTATATCAATATGAGATCATGGCGGCTTTTGTCACTTTAAAGCGTAACTAAACCTTCCATGGTCATCGCACCAATATATTCAATGACATAGATCAAGTATGGATGAGTGGCATGGAAATTACATGCATTGTGATCTTACCATGCCTATTTCCAACTGTTCCTACTTTAATCTTTATGAGATCAATCCTAAATTTTCTGCATACACAAAGCAGAAACACAAGCACAAAATATAATACATTCAGAGGGAAAATAACATTGAATTCTTTATTCTGCAAAAAATAAACATAAGAATATTTCAATTATTTATTTACATAGAACACCAAGATAAAGAACTCCCACTAAACCGCAGTGTCATCGAACAAAACAACACCCATATGAGCAGTATGCTCGTGAAAGACCTTAGGCACTAAGCCTTTAGTAAGCGGATCGCAAGCATGGAGTTCGACCACTCTGAACTCTTTCTTTAATAACCAGGAACTTTATATCGATATGCTTCGATTTTGAAGAGCTTCTGTTGTTGTTGGAGTACAACACTGCTGACCTATTGTCACAATAAATCTTCAGTGGCCTTTCAACACTACTCACTATATGCAGCCTTGTGACAAAGTTTCGCAGCTATACCCCATGATGTTTGCCTCAAAACAAGCTACAAATTTAACGGTCATAGTAGAGGAAGCTACGAGTGTCTATTTAACACTCTTCCAAGAAATAGCTCCTCCAGCCAACATGTAGACATAACCTGACGTGGATGTTTTACTATCTTGACATCCAGCAAAATCAGAGTCAGTATATCCGACGATCTCTAATTCTTCTAACCTCCGATATGTAAGCATATAATCTTTTGTTCTCTTCAAATACCGCATAACCCTCTTGGCTGCTTTCCAATGATCCATTCCTGGATTGCTCAAGTATCTTCCTAACACTCCCACTATAAATGCTATATCAGGGCGAGTACAAACCTGGGCATACATAAGGCTTCCTACTGTCGAAGCATAAGGTACCTTTGTCGTTTCTATCATCTCAAGCTTACCTTTAGGGAATTGGGCGAGACTAAACTTGTCTCCCCTAGATATAGGCGTATCTCCTGACGTACAATCCTTCATGGCAAATCTATCCAAAATCTTTTCAATGTAGGCCTTTTGTGATAACCGTAGGATACCTTGAGCGCGATCTCGAAGTATCTGTATTCCTAAGACAAAAGATGCATCACCAAGGTCCTTCATCTCAAAAATTTTAGTGAGAAGTTTCTTGGTTTCATGCAATAAGCCTATATCGCTACTGACAAGTAAGATATCATCAACATATAGTATCAGGAATATGAATTTACTCCCACTGAATTTTTGATACACACATTCTTCCACTAAGTTCACCTCAAAGCAATAAGATATAATAACCTGATGGAATTTGTGGTACCATTAACGAGAAGCTTGCTTAAGGCCATAGATGGACTTTTTCAATTTGCAAACCATAGACTTTGAATCTCCCAATACAAAGTTTTTTTGTTGCACCATATAAATTGTCTCATCAATGTTACCATTGAGAAACGCTGTCTTTACATCCATATGATGTAGCTCCAAATTTAAATGAGCCACAAGCGCCATTATTGTCTTAAAAGAGTCCTTCGTAGAAACCGGAGAGAAAGTCTCTTTATAGTCTATGCCTTCTTTCTGAGTGAAACCTCTAGCAACTAGACGTGCCTTATATCTTTCGATGTTTCCATTTGAATCACTTTTGGTTTTAAATATCCATTTACAACCAATGGGTTTCACACCTTTAGGCAACTCAATAAGATCTCAAATGTCGTTGTGTTTCACAGATTGCATCTCATCTTTCATGGAATCAATCCATTTATAAGCATTAGAGCTTTCTAAGACTTGTTGGAAGTTTATTGGATCATCTTCTTTCAAGCTTAAAATAT